CGTTCAGTTGCGCCTAACTGATACAGTGCTGCCAGTGACTTGTCATCTGATGGGATTGTACTGAATGTATTCAAATAACATTTTTATGCCTGTAAAATACCTTTTAAAGATGATAGTATGTTGTATAAATGAGGAAGTCAGCAGTCAGTGAGCAGCAGAGTGCATCAGATAAGTAACAGTAAAAACAAAGAGCGGACAATCTGAAAAACAGCCTTGTGTTGGTTTTGTCCTTCAGATTGCAACAAAAAGTCTTAGTTGACTTAATTTAGTTGATGAAACTATGTAAAGTAGATGAATTAGCTGTTGCTGCTGCTTCAGTCTTGCGATGCAGGGCATGTCAGTGCCTGTGTCAGGTGGAACCCCTGTGGCGCAGGAAAGATTGTTTCTTTCTGTTGAGGGTCTGTGCAGGAGATGACAATTAAAGCAAATAAAAAGATATGACAGATTAGGCACTTGAGTGAGGAGCAGGGAATAGGAGGTTTCAGAGAAGAACAGGGAACAGACATACAAACAGAACTTAAATAGTAGAAAATAGTCTTTTTCCTGGGGCCCCAGAGGAGTCCAAAATCAGAAGGCTGCTGAAACTTGTTGGACAAATAGCGAGACTGGAAGGAGAGACCTTCTCTGTGAGGCATTGGGGGAATCTGTTTGATTTCCATGTGATAGGAATTTATTTTTGTTGTCTCTGTCCCAGCATACCTCAGGGGGGTTTTATTCTTCTTTCAAAACTTAGTTTTTGGAATGCGGTAAGATACAGATCTAGAAACTCAGAAGCTTTTGGTATGGAAAGTTTAAAGGAGAGCTAGGCAGGGTTAGCTCTAATCATCTCTGCAGTCGTAAGCCCCACTCATTTCCAGCTGAAACTTCTCCACCTTCCGTGTCACACTGCTAGTAATCCGTATTCAAATCATCTGCTCTGTACATCCCTGAATTTAATAACCTTTCTGATTTGTTCCCAGCTTTTCCGTTGCTTGTGCAGTCTTTCTGTGGTCCAGATCACATCACACTTCTCATTAGACCTGTTTATTTTACACTGCATTAAATTTTTATACTTCCTTTTTTCTTCACAATGTCTTTTATGAATGCCTCTGGTTTTTTCCTCTCTTCCTTTCCCCTAATTCTCTTTGCTGCCTCCTGTTTCCTCTACTTTGGCTTAAGAATTTATTTTCTTCTTTAATCCTCCAAAACTGATGAATTCTGGTTCTTATGGACAATGGGGAAAACAAAAGGTTTGTGATTTGTATTTACTTGTGAAAATACAAAACAAAATGAGAAGCAGCCTTGGCAAAGGGGGCGAGCTTACGTATTTCCAGTACAGAGGGTAGCTGAAAAGACATATGCTAGTCAGTTAAGGTGGCTAATATTCAAAACCAGTATTTCGTAGAGATGGAAAGGTGCTTAATGTGTTCTCTAATTTGGTTGATCTTTTTTCTTGCATTCTGATACTTGGAAGTTCCAGCAAATTTTGGGAAAGTGAGTCTAATAATCGTTGCCTGTGTTGGTTGTCTGAAGTTTAATGCTTTGATGCTGAGTTGGTGCTTTAGTTCAGGAGATGGGGACAACTCCATGGAGGCGAGAGATTTGAAAATAAAGGTTTTCTCTGTAAGATACATTTACATATAGAAATGTTATGAATAGTTTCAAGTTTGTATTAGAAGTTCAGTTCCTAAGTTGTGCCGTGGAGCATAACTTGAGAGTCACAATGCAATTCAGTTTTAAATCTGACACACTGTGAGGCTAGTTTCTGAAGGCTGACTGTAATTCTAGTGACAAAGCTTTTATATAAGATTATTGTATTTGGCCTAAAACTAACTGAAATCCCGCTGTCTTTAGTCTAGTCATTTTCTGCTCTTCTATTACACACATCAAAGCCCCATCACACAGCAGTCACAGTACATACAGTGATTTTTGTTAGATTTTAGAACTTAAAACATGAGAATACCTCGAGCAGATGACCAGTAAGGAATACCCTGACTGAATACCAGAGGAAATGCTGTCTAGGGTCCAATAACAGAGGCCTGTTACTCAAGGATGTATACTGAATAAACCCAAGCTGCTGCTGGCAGTCATATAGCACTGGACTTACAGCATTGCCAATACTTGGATAACACCATTTTGCTTAAAACTGTGTTTTGAGGAATTGTATCTCTTGCCACTTTCACTTCTTTTTAAAAACGTTTTATTTTACTGTCCTCGTGGTTGAGGAGATGATTTTAAAAACATCTCCTTACATCTTTAGGATGTAAGAGCATCCTAAAAACAGAACCAAAGAAAAGCAATCCCCACTCCAAATGTTGCTACGTGATCACATCAATCTTGGGAACACGCTCATGATTCTTTGATGTTTGGGTTGGGCAATTTGATTCCTATGGAATATATAGTTAGAGCAGAGCCCTGGCTGGACTGTAGCTATTGAATCTGATTTTTAGGGAAAAAACGCTGGCAATAACTCCAGTGCTTGTTCTGGGATCTCTTGACAATTTTCACTGAATTTACATTTGTCCTACAGGCTTTCTAATAGAAGATTACAGCATAACATATAATGGTTCTGTGTCACTGACATGGTGGTTTGCATCATGGGCTGCTCAGGGAGTAAATAACATTCTTACTCAGTGATATTAATTCTTCTTTCACAATTGCGTTTAGTGCTTCAAACCCTGAGGTAGAGTAGTTCAACCCTGCAGGTAACAGCTCTTTGTGCTGGTTTTTCCCTGCCTCAGTTAGGTTTTTGTTCTTCACCGAGATGACTGTAACAGTGAGAGACTTCTTTATCTGTATAAAACTATTTGTACTATTTTTAGCTTATTCTTCTTTTTGTAAGCAAATAAGTCTTATTTAACTGCTACTCAGATAGTGTAGCTTCTCAAAGCACATAAAGTGACAAGCTTTTATGGTGTAATAAATCTTGAATTAGTCAGAATCAGGTCACTTTTGAATCTGAAAAAGTGTTCATGAAATGCTGTGGAAGTCTTGTGTAATTAGTGAGATCTTTTTTTCTTGCTATTAAATGTTTGCAATTTTCCAATTAAAACCAGGTACTTGGAGAGTGCTGGGACATCTGTGCATTTTAACTCAGCAAGATTGTTTTGAATATAACATACAAACATCTCCATGTTTTTCATTATTATTTTCTTGAGAGGGAGGAGTAGCACTTCACCACTTGCATTAATCAGACCTCTCCATCTTTGGGTATTAGCCTCCATTCTCTTACCCCTGGTCATAGCAGTATGGTGAAGTGGGAGCCTGGAAGCAAATCTTTTAGAGGATTTTGTGTTGGCAGGTTCCATGAGCAGCTCCCACAGATGTGGAATCCCCTCACTGCGTGTTTTCACTGTCCTATGTTATGTGCTTTCTAAAAGACTTCCAAGATCTCTGAGAGAGCAAGTTCTCTCTGATGTGTAAGATAAAGGCACCTAAAGTGGTTTGCATTTGCATTCTGGCTGCTCTGCAAACAGAAAGCATCTTACTCCCCTGTGCCATAACGCTAACAGTCATGTCTTTCCATCATTGCCACTAATCATTATCTACTATGAATACAACTGTATAGATGTGAATTATTGCTGCCTGTCATTATTAGCTTAAATTCTGTGGGATTTAGTGTTTATCTTCCATTGCCAGTTTATGGAGCCATTTGATCAGAACCTGAGCAAGGGATGTCCTGACATTGGTTGCCTTGTATGATAAAATACGTGGGTTTGTGGATGAAAGAAGAGTAGTGGATACCTTTTATGTGAATGTTAGCAAGCTTTTGACACTGTTTCCCACAGTATTGCTATATTTGAGTTTGAATGTTACAGTCTGAAGGGCTGGGCAACTAAGTGGGCAAATAACTGTTACCATGGTCAAGCTCAGAGGGTAGTGGTGGTTAATGGATAGCTGGTTAATAGGGTAGTCACAAATGCTTGTCTAAAGTCTTTATCCATGAGGTAACATCAGCTTTGCAGATGATACCAACTGGGGGACCAGCTGATGTCTTCAAGGGCAGAGCTGCCATTTAGGGGAACCTGGACAGAGAGAGGGAATTGACCAGCAGGTGCCTTATAAAATTCAACAAGGATGAGCACTGGAGCTCTGCAATGATACAGTCTTGGGGGGCAGCTTGGCAGAAAAAGACTTGGAGATCTTGGTAGCCAGCAAGCTACCTGACAGCTAGGGAGGGCCAGCAATGTGGTGAGTTCTATCAACATTGTAGGCAGTGATTGTTACCTCATTGCTCAGCACTCAGTAGATATCTGTAATACTGTAGTTTGCCACCTACCCCCAGTCCAAAGAAGACAGCTATAAGTTAGATTGAGTTCAGGGGAAGGCTCCAAAAGTTGTTGGGGGCTGGAGCACAAAAGTCCTATGAGGAGAGACTGAGGGAGTGGGGCTTGTTCAGGCAGGAAATGGGGAGCCTTTGAGGAAATATAACAGCAGCCTTCCAGTGCCAGCTTCCAATAGGAAGGTTAGCAAGGAGTTGGAGCTGGGCTCTGCACAGTGATGCATTGCAGGAGGACAAGGGGCAGTGGGAATTAGTTGAAATGAGAGGTTCAGAGTGGTTGTAGGTCCCATGAAGACAATCAAATTGGGAAGAGTTTACCCAGAGAGGTTGCACAGTCTCCATTCTCAGTGTTTTAAAGACCAAACTAAATAAAGCTGTGAGCAGTCTAGTCTGATCTTATAGCTGGCCCTGCATTGAGCAGGAGGTTAGACAAGAGCTTCCCTGAGGTCTTCTCCAATTATGGTATAAAGAAAACTAAAATATAAATTAAAACAAAGAAGTAAAAGGATTTCTGTGTTTGTTCATTTGCTGTGTATTTTCGAGGTGTTTATCAACTCTGCATTTTTTGTTGAGAGATGAGTTGTTGTAAAATCTTTTATCAAAAGAACCTTGTTGATGCTTTAATTAAGATTGATTTCTCTATTTAGGTGTATATTTTAAGTGCATATGAAGACGGTTTCCAGGTTAGCAATGTGGTCACATACAGATGTGAGCAGAATGTCCTTTTGCTATTTGGCAGGCAAAAACTGGGACTTGACAGCAGCATTGAATGACTATGAGCAGCTCCGGCAGGTACACACGGCCAACCTGCCACAGGCATTCAACGAGGGCAGATACCACAAGCAGCAGGAGCCAGAGCAGCCTCCCCAGGTGACAAAGGCAGAGCGGCCCTGCCTGCAAAGGCAGGATGACATTGCTCAAGGTAAGAGCTCTGCTACAGGGCATCCATGGGCAAGAAGCTTTCTAGCTTGACTGCTTGTGAGTTGTGCTTGTCCGCAGGGAGTTGGAAGTCATTTGCCAGCAGCCTGTGAATGGTGTCACTGTGATGGCATTCACAAAGCTGCTGCTAGAGCCTGTATTTCACATGTTTCAGTTGACATGAGCTTTGCATCAGTTCTGCAACTTATTTTTTAATGTGTGGTGAAAGTACAAAAATACTTTGTCCCCAAGCAGTCCTGTGGTACATGTAAGAGGAATTAATTAGGGGCTGTCATGGGGCACTACTGTATGTGGTTTTCTATGCTTATTGAGACCAAAAAAGGTTAAAGAAATAAAATTCGTATTTTGGTCTTTGCATTCTTACAACATGTGATTAGGGTGAATCTGTGAATAACATTCAGCTTTAAAATCTTGTTCTTTCTTGGTTCCACAGAAGAAAGGGCAGCGTTCCATCCGCTGCCAAATAGAAATGGAAACCTGAAGAAAAATGAGTCAACTACCTTTAGCAGTTGATTTCTAGTACAGGATGATAAACACTGCCATTTACTTTTTTGCTTGCAGACCTTTTGTAGGTTGGATTTCAGATCTCCAGCTCAGACTGTTGGAATGCATTTCTTATTTTTTGTTTTAAGTGTACTAATTTCTCAAGGACCTGTCGTTCACACCAAAATGAGCAGGCATTCGCCAGGCTTGGCGTTGGCTGGGCTTTTCTGTACTCTTGCAGGCCACAATATCTCTCTGTTTTCTCTACAGAAAAGCGTCTTTCCAGAGGTATTTCTCATGCCAGCTCAGCCATAGTCTCCCTTGCTCGATCACATGTAGCAAATGAGTGCAGCAACGAACAGTTTCCTTTGGAGATGCCCATCTACACATTCCAACTGCCGGACCTTAGTGTGTACAGTGAAGACTTCAGAAGCTTCATTGAGCGTGACTTAATTGAGCAGGCAACGATGGTTGCTTTGGAGCAAGCAGGTGGGTAAATACTTCAGATGTCAGCAGCTGGGCAATCTGACATTTTGGTTGACATTTCTAATCATGCTTCTTTTCTGGAGCCTGCACATTCTGCATGGGAGATAAATGCCAGAGAGTAAAAGCAAATACTGTGCTCTTTGCACAGTGACACATACTCTGATCCTCTGTTTCTTTAGAAATGTAATAGAGAAAGCTGTCACATTTTGCTTAATGAAGCAAAGAAGTTGAGGGAGGAAGGAGGAGTGATGGGGAAGTCCTGCAATAGAGAAGGGCATGAGCCTGGGTTGGTTGGAAGGGGTTGATGCTTCCAGTTCTCTTGAGGAAATTACATTGCAATGACTAACAAAGAAACCTCTTCAAGTTCTCTTGCAGCCTGAGATATTAAATATGTATTTTATGTATTAATTATTATTTTTGTAATAAGAAACTGAATAATTTAAAAGTAATACTTGATTATTGCCGTGGGGGCAAAAAGTGAAGACATTTGAAATTAATTTTAATTCAGATTTATTAGTAGTTTGAGGTTTTAAGCCAGTTTTGAAGGATATGGAGAAATGTATTTAAAATTAGTATCTGTGCCTTATGAAACAGCAAGTGTATTAATGAACTGTGAAATGAACACATCTATATAGTGAAATGCCCAACTCTGAAGATACAAAGGAGTTACAAAATCAGACTTCATGGCTGCCTGTGGGATATCAAACAGCCAGTTGCCTTTTCCTGTTGATGGCTCTAGTGGCTCATGTAACGCTGTGTGCTCCTCTGAGAGCTCACCCTTGAAAATCAGCGTGTGGTTGTGCTCTGTATGTTCAAACTGGTAAACTGGTGCTTGTTCTTGATCAGGGCGCTGCATCACAGGGTTCAGGCTGGACCTCTGCTAATCTGGGGTCACACTGACTACTTATATATTGTCATTTACTCATTTTTTGGCTTTGGTGTTTGAAAAGCAAGACATAGATAATAGCATTAAATGGTAAATACTTCAGGGGAAAATGATAACACAAAACCAAACAGAAAACCCAAACAGTAATCTGAAGGCCTCTTCTGAAAAAGGAGAAAACTCATACTTACATACTTACAGATGAAGTAGTTCTACTTCATCTATCAAGAAAATATATCTAGTTTCTCTAGAAACCAGCTGATGCAAAAAGGACAGGGAGAAACCAGAATGGCTCTTCCTCTGGCAGCTGTGCCAAACACTCCTAGTTCCCATGGGCTATCAAAAAATACCTTGCTACAGTACCAGTGGTGATCTACCTACTTCTGGGGAATTACAACCTTTACAGTCAATTAATGCAGGAGTGCAGACTAGAGGATCACAGTGGGTTTCTGACATTAAAATCGGGGAATATTTGAATTAGAGCTGACATCTCCTAATTCATACAGATCTGGCTGGCTTTGAACTTGAATTAGGGCTGCAGAAACTACTGAATCTGCTGCCTCTCAGCATTCCTCCCTCATATCCCTCTGAAAATTGGAATACATCATGTAGCCTTTTCTTTACTTCAATTAGGGCAATAATTAGACTCACGCTGGAAAAGTCCCTTCCTCCCCAGAGCCTCTTGCATCCTGAGAAGGAGTGTGTTTGACCATTTGAAGTGCTCAGGGGTTTGACTGCAGGTATTCGTGTAGCCTGCAAAGGCCTAGTTCACTCCTGTGAGCACCTCATTCAAATAAACTGGAACTTCCTGGGAAACAGTTCTTCAGTTCAAGTAAGTTGAACAGCTCAAACAGTGAATGTTCAAGGAAATAATGTAAGACTTGGTGTAAACTGGCCTTTTGTCTCTCTTTTAGATACAAAGATACTCCATTTCCCTTCATTTCTGGACTCTTTTAGACATTGTTGTGTGAAATGAAGAGAGTGAATTAATAGGAAAGTCACTTAGCGTTAGACATCTTATTGTCTCCTTACTAACAGGCCCGGTTTGACTATGGCATAAAAAACCTAACAGAGAAGGTGCGTTCCGGGCAAAGGGTCTAAAATCTATTTGAAAACAAAACAAACCCCATGAAGGACAGTAGCTGCTTTAGCTGAGGTTGGTGATACTGTTAAAGGAAAAGAGAGAGGTGCGTGCTTCAGTTTATGGGCATGAATTTCAGGAGAAAGGGAATTAAAAGAAAAGCCGATTAGTCAAAAGGAAGAGGAACTTTGTTAGGAACATCGAGCAGTTTGCTCCTCCCAAGTGTAGTCATTTTTAACAGACGTGTGTTGTCTGAGGTGGCTGTATGAGCTGGATGTATAAAGTCTGGGAAGTTTTTATGTTCTCTTTTTAGATGCTTAGGCACTTGCTACCATTACATCTCTACATGAAAGAATGTTCCGGTTACATCCTATTTGTAGAGAAAAACAGGGTAGAATTCCTGATTTACTCAGAAATGCTGTGCGAGATGGTGAAGGAAAGGCCCAGGTAGAGGCAGTAGAACTTACTCGCTCTCTGCTGCTCCGGTGCGTACTCTTTGTGTGACTGCTTTCTGAGTATTTCTCTTAGAGGATGGAATTCACCATGTTCATAAAAATATTTGGGGGGTTTGTGCATCTTAGAACTTGGGTGTTCATTATTGCCTGAACTGGAGTGGGGTCAGCGTGGAGGTAATGTGCAGACTGATCTGTGTGCGCTTTTGCAGTAATCTGACACAGAGATAATCCAAAAACTTCTGCTGTACTGATGAGTTATCAAAAACCCAGCAGAAGAATGGCTGGTCTAACACAATGTTTTTAGTGAAAAGAAAGAAGTTTGTTGCAGTGCTGGAATGTAACTCAATACAAAAATTAAAAGGAAGCCGTATGAACCTTCAAGAATACTGCTTTCCTTCGCTCTTCTTTCTGTGCTCAGGTTTGTGTTCTCTATGAAGCGTTTTGGACGGCTACAGGCAAAATAAAAAAGACATTGTTAAGCCTGGGTTTCGCATCCCCAGCACCAGACCCACCAGAATTCTGGAAATGTTTGATTTTAAACTGTTAAAAATTAAGTCTTGTTAAAGAAAAACTCATGCCTTCTCAGGTTGTAGAAACGTTTTCTTATCCCAGGCTTTTTAACAGGTTTTCACACAGTATGTGCAGGGTACTGGCATAGCAACTGTTGTAATTACAAGAGAACTGTATTAATTTCCTGATTTCCAAGCTTTGAAATGCGTGTTCGTGTAATTCAGTTCTAATATGAACGACACGTGTTGTATCTCAGAGTAGGATGAAATGCAGTAATGCCACAGAAAACCACCTGCCTCAGCTTATGGACGACACAAAGAAAACCGGTAACGCTGGATCTGCTGTAACTTGTGGGTCACTGAACTCGGTGTCAGTCATCTGCAGCCAGTTAGGCCTAGTCATGTATTTCTGTGCTATCTTATTTTATAATCTTTGATTTGCTTCTGTGACAGAGTCTGTGTTGCTTATGCATCAGGCTAAAAGAGAAGCATTTACTTGATTGCTCAGCTTTACTTATTTCTACGTGCACAGCTCAACATTACATTTCAAGGACACCAGTAAATATGAATAGCTTTGCAGATGCTATTGCAAAGCTGATTCCATCATCTAGAATAAAAAAGAGAGCTCCTACAAGAAGGTGCTTTCTTTGTAGTACAGAAAATGTATTGGTAGATGTTTATTTCTTCCCTTATTTAAAAAGTCATGGAAAGATTAATATAAGCCCAATGTAGAAAATCTGTTCTTGTAATTTTCTTCATGTTAATACTTGCAAATACACGTTTGTTGTATGGAAGGACTAAAACTAAAAATAAACAAATCCTCTGGCTATAGTCATGTCAGAAACACATAAGCAAAGAAGTAGCTCTACTGAAATGTGGATTTGAGATTCCTGCCCCTATTGGTGATCGTCTGACTGTTCCAAGTGGGCTGAGTAATCCTCAGCTGCCTTCACCAGCTGGTCCTCTGCGCGCCCAGAGCAGCTATTGCTGTTGGATTCCAGGGGGGAAGAGGGAGTTACTGAGTGTTCAGGGTGAATCACTGCTTTGGAGAAGATGTGGGGTGTCCAGAATTAGACTTACTTTGGAAGTTGAAAATGTTATTTGGTGACTTGCTCATCTTGGGGGGTGGGTGAGAGTGGGTATCTGGTAATACAGTGTGCTGGGGAAATGGAAGAAAGGCAGGTTTTAGCTTAGTTTCCTAAGGAAACCGAGCTTGTGTCAGGAAGCTGTCTCTTAAGGCTGTACCACTGATTATTTTTTAAATATAACTGTGCCAGCGTCAAACATTTGTGAGTAAGCTTCTACAGATTTCATGAAAATAAGCAGCCATCTTATTTTTAGTGTTTCCATAGAAGAAAAACTTGCAACATGAATATTGGTAATTAAATTCTACAGAATCCACATGGGAAACCACCTGTTTGCCGTGGAGACCGTGGTGCGCAGTGCAGCTTTGCGGTGAAACTTCAACCACACTCAGAGAGAGCTTGAGAGGGGGCTCAACCTTTGTAGCATCTCCTTTTCCCCTGTCAATAGGGAGTTCTACTAAGTTGCTGCTTGCTAAGTGTGTCCTTTTACTGGTTAATTCTACCAGAAGAAATCACAAGAAAACACAGACAGGAGAAAATGAAGAGGGAGCGAAGGATGTATGCAGAGTTTCTACAAAGATGCTATTGTTCTTCAGCATCATGTAACCTCATGTTTGTTTTGAATTTGGTTGGTTTGTCTGTGTACCTCACCTTGTGCATGCTTGAGCAATGAATACTTTATAGTGCACCTTAGTAAACACAGAGGGCATGATGCTAAATGCTTTCTTACCTTCTGAGACCAGTACCAGTGCATAAGGCATCGGGGCTGATATTGGAAGCCGAACTTGGCCCCTGTTAATATTTGAATGCATTATCTGTTCTCTGCAGCCTTCTTTTTGAACCATTCAGGTCAAATAACCATCTAGAATCCTCCTTGGAAATTTTCTTCCATAAATCTTGCACCAAGAAACAATACACCTGTAGCTTGTAATACTATGTGGAAGCTTATGAAAATAACAGACCTTTCTCCTGTCCATTAGTTATACTTGAACATTAACTGTCTCTGAGATTCAGCTTACCTTCCTTGCATGGAATACCAGATACATACTTGTTTCTGTATCGGAATGATTGACTCTTGTTGGGCGCTGCAAATGAGGAAGGAAGGGGGAGCCAATATACACTTTGTATTATGTGAAGTCTGATGCACACTGCGTAGTGCACAACTAGGACAGTATCAGAATACAGCAATAGTTGGTTATCTTTAGTCATGGAGGATACTAGATTCTGTCAACATTTCTTTCGAGTTTTCACCCCAAGTGTTAAGTATCATGCAGAGAAAGGGCAATATTGTGTGCGCTTGTGTCTGCCTCTCTGATTGTATGTTGTTCAATCGTAGACCTGGATAGGACTTTTAATCTGGATCTAAAATTCAGACCAAATTTTAATGTACTGGAATGTGGCTGTATTAATTCTCCGAGGGTTTGGGGGTTTTTTTCTGTAAAAAACAACAGACTGATTTCTTGCAATTTTGGGTTTTGGAGATTAAATAGATTTGTAAGAAAGTAAGAATCAAGATCAAGTAGGAGTCCAGTAGAGGGAGAGTGAGAAATGGGTCTGGTTTGTCCATAAATATCGTCTTACCTAAGCAGGCAGAAATCAGCCTGAGGAAGAACTGTTCCTGGTTTTCATTCAAGCTCCACTTCTCTGTTGTTTCCCTAAAGGGATCCACTGTATCTGAAAAATGAAAATGCACTACCTTTTTTGTTATAATCCAATGGATTTCTGCTCACTTTTTAGTCAGCCATAAGCTTTGTGATGTTAACCAAGCCCACAAACATATTTTTGCGTAATCAACTTGAAAGCAGATCACTTTTATAGAAACCTCCTGTTATTCCAAAGATTCCTAAACACCAGACTTTGACATTTATTACCAGTAGCTGCTAGTTCATCTGCAAAGCAATAGCACTCATTATTCCCTTGAGCCCTAAGGTCTGTCTGCATTAGGTCTTGTAACTCTGCTTTAGCAGTACCTTGGTATAACTTATTACTGAATCTGATACCACCAAAGCATTCTGCAAAAAGCAGGTGGCAAGTTGTTATTTCACAGCCCACAGACGCAGGAGTTGCTAAAAATGTTAACTTGTTATTTCAGATTTATCTTTCCCAAAGGCTGGCCAATAGTGCTTTAAATGAAGCTTCTTTAATGCATATTTAATTTAGAACTCATTAAGCCTAGTATGAGATGTTGGGCTGCTAAAATCATATGAGGATTACCAAATGTGCGTCGTTATTATCTGCTGTGTATCTTCACAGCATGGTAACCTCTCAACCCATATTCACCAATGAAATGCGATTAATGGTATTTCTCCATACCCAGAACAAGGAGTTGGGGCACATGTTAAAATATCACTATACTATTTTTTGGCACAATATGTATTACCTGTCGTTACAAGTAAACTTCAGTATAACTTTGTAATGTAAACTTGTTAATGGAGAAGGTTTTTTTCCATTGCATAAACTTATTTCTGTTTTGGGGATTTAAGCTTTAATGCAAGACTGCCTGCATTATTTCAGCTTGCAAGTAAAGGGACTGGGGGGGGAGAAGTCTGCAGAAGAGGACAAAAAAAGAATGGAGTCACCACAGGCTGCCCATTGCATTATTCATTCGATTATTCCGTTGTGCATTACCCACAGACTGTCCAAAAGTCTTGGGAAATACCCAAGCTCTGCTCCTCATTGTTAATCATCTGCTTGTCCTTATCCCCCAAGATGATAAACAATTAGTCACATTAGATTCGAAATGTTACGTGACCCATTAATCAAGACTTAGCACTCCAGTAAGTACCACATTGCAACCTGTGTGCCAGGAATTCTGTACTTCCAGTGCTGGCTTTGGCACTGATACTCTTCATGGCTTCATTTGCTTCATCCTGGTACATCCAGTATCTGTCCTCTTGTCAGTCCATCTTGGTTTATGATCTGTAAAACATGCCTCGTGTATCAGTGATGGATAAGTGGTTCTCTAAGTGTTCTCAGACAGAAAGCCACGTGCTGTGGTACACCAGAGCTGTGCCTTTGGTTTCATTTAAATTCCCTGGTAGCATAGCTGTTGATTTTAGTAGATCTAATAATGATGTACACTATGGTAAATGAGAAGAGAATCAGCTGTTGAAACAATCCACCTGATTGTAACAATAGTACTTTACTTAATGAACTTAACATTCATTATCTTGATTAACACACACATATATTGTCTCTTGAGACTTTATTGCTGTAACATAAACTGTCATCTGTCTACAGGAGGCCAATGTCAGTTATGTTTGGGAACTGATACCAAGACTCATAATGGTATTTAGGTCATGAACTCCTTGGAAATCCACCCCTGAATGCAGCAGATAAGAATGGAAGATGCAAATTAATGAAAGGAGTTCTTGTTTCATTCCAGATTAATTTAGAGAGTAGTTTATCTGCTCTTCTTTTCAACTTTTCAGTTTTCATTTCTGATGTTACATTTAAGTTTGCTTGGCAGAAAGTATGTTCATGATTAACCTTCAACATCAGCCTGTACACAGTACACATCCTGGTCTAGTGTCCACTCCACTAGTTTAATAGAGGCTTTCTTTTCAGGACGACTGAATTGGTGGTCCACGGTGTGTACAAGCTGCAAACGTCTTCTTCCCTTAGCTACAACTGGTGATGGAAACTGCCTCTTGCACGCTGCATCGTTAGGTAAGGGAGAGTCTGTAAATGAAACCTCCTGCCAAAAATATTTACCACTTGTCTCTATCCCCAGAAAAAGCTCAGAAACACTTGCGAGGCAAAGACTTTCATTAAAAGCCTGGTTCTGGAGCTCTGTATTCTTCAAATTTCATTTAACTATTGTTCGCTTTAGGCATGCTTGAGAGAAAAAGGTAAAAAAGTTTGATCAGGTTGTAAAAGACGTGTAATGGGAACAGTATCAAAACCCATGTATCATAAACACCAGTGATTTGCATTTTCCTTACAGAGCCCAACCTAGTAGCTCTGCAGCAGGCAAATTCCCTGTGCTTCTGCGGGATTGTCCTTGTTGGCGAGGAGTTGCATTTCTTCTCTGGCTTGTGTTAAACGGTTCTCTTGGTGTTTTCAAGCATGCAATAGCTAGCTATTACCTCTGTTGGTATCTTGTAGAGTTGAAGCATGTGGGAAACATAGTTAGGGGTGAATCAGAATAATTTCCAATAAATTAATCATAAATACAAGATCTTTGAAGCCCTTCTTCAAATCAAATAGAAACCTGAGAAGGTTAAAGTCTTTGATATGACTTCTGTATCCTAACCTGCTATGAGGAAACTTACTGGGTTTTTTTGCAGTTGCTAAAATCTTCCACCAGTGGGACTCCAAAAGGTGGCTTTCTAAAAACCACTGGGATTTTTAGTGTTTTGAAGAGGCTCTTCTTTTTGAAAGAAGTAGTAAGGACAGAGCTTTGCTGTTTTTCCAAGGATCCTTCTGTTTTTGTCCGCTTCATTTTGAATTAGGGGGAATGGTGTATTATCTACAGCAAATGCTTGGAGTATTTTGATGTGTGAAGTCTTAAATGTGTTTAATACCAACGGCTGTCCATATGGGAACTGAACCATGGCTGGCTGTGGGCACGTGTCTTGCGGAGAGCTCTGCTCGCTTTTGCTGTAGGTTACTCTTTGTAACCATGTGAAGATGTTTCCTTATGTTAAAATGAGCTTAAAGCCTCTGGCTGGTTGTATTTTTAGGCTTTCAATCATTTTGAATGCTGCTATCTTTATTTGGATCTTGAAGCCAAAGGAAATGTACCATCGTGCTGTGTAAGAGTTAGAGGCCTTTGGGTGTTGGCATCATCTGCGAGTCACATAAGTGCCTGCAGTTGTTGTTAGATTTCTTGTGTCTGCAGAATCTGTTGGCAAATACAGCTAAAGCCAACCTGTGCACTGAATATTCCATTGCTTTTAGCAAAGTTGAAGCTGCCTGCAAGCAAACACTGAAACAACTCAAATCTTTAGTCATTCCTCAATCAGTGTTTAAACTTTGATAGCATTCCCTCTCGTTACTCATTAGCTTATCTATAGACTGTTTAGGAAGCCATAAAAATGGTGAGTGAATTATTTGCCAAGGAGAATCTTAAATAATGTATAACCTATGCTTTTTCTGCTAATAGAGCAGTATTAATTATATTAGTACTTAATATTTCTGTTTCACTGTAGCTTCTTGAAAGCTGAATGTCATCTTGTGCTTCTTTAGGGATGTGGGGATTTCATGACCGGGACCTTGTTCTACGTAAAGCGCTCTATACGATGATGAGAAGTGGAGCTGAAAGGGAAGCGCTGAAAAGAAGATGGAGATGGCAACAGACACAGCAGAATAAGGAGGTCTGTATGGCCTGGCGGCAATCTCGTTAATATCATTTAGGCCCAAGAGCATTCTTCTGAAGTTTGGTGTGAGTTTTAATTGCTATCATATTCCTTGTTCTTCCATTTTGCGTGGGCATAGAGATACTTGTATTTGGAATTTTTGTATCGGAGCACAAAGGTATTTGTAGCTTTGTGAGCATGAATATGTACAGTTCTGTGCCTATGAAGGTCTAAGATGAGTTTGGAAACTATAGAAAATTTTGGGCTACAAAGCTAAAAGTATAATTTAGCTATCACAAGCATTACGAAATGAGTGGTGAAATCCACAAAATCAAGAAAACCCCATTTAGGAGAAATTCCCCAGAATGGTGAATTAGGATTCTCAGAGCTGTGACCAGATATTGAAGGGATGTTTCTTACCTAAAATCATCCGTCAGTTTGGTTTGATTGTCAACTAAAAGCTGTACTTCAGCACTGTTTTCTGAAGATGTCTGTGCCTGAATGGTGGTTAGAAAAGCCAGTTCCAGGGGTAATCCTGAAAGCAGTCAAGTGAATATGCTTAAAGGTGTGTGACTTCTTTGTAAACAGCAGTCAGTGAGAATACAGCTGAGCTGTGACTGACTCAGCTGCTTCAGGCTGCCTGAGAACACAGGGGCACAGAAGTGTTACCCTCTCTGCTCTTGAACAGAGGGAGAAAGCATCAAGCATCACCTGCCTGACAAGGTTCAGGATACTGGGGAAGAAAGCAAACCTCCAGACATGGGCAGTGAAGCACACTAACCATGCTTGCAAGGAATTCTCATGGGTGTGAATAACTTGATGTACAGTAGTGGAGCACTGTGCTGGCAGCAGCAGACCCACATCTGGAAGTGAAACCCAGTATGCAGTCAGTGGGCTAGAACTTTTTTCATACGTTAATAGTCTTTCACCTGGATAGAAATGTTGAACTGTTAATGGTTCAAGATACTGAACTGAATCACGTGTGAAGCTCATACTACACTACTGCAGAGCTCTGTTTACATTTTGTACCAGCATAATGGTAAAGGTATTTCATTCTCTCCCATAGTCAGGTTTAGTGTACACAGAAGAAGAATGGGAACGGGAGTGGAATGAACTGCTTAAACTGGCGTCAAGTGAGCCTCGCACACATTTCAGCAAAAACGGAGGCACTGGTGGTGGGTAAGTTTAGAGTATGACAAAATCCTTTAGTTTTTGTTCTCAGTAGGAAAACAATACACCACAAATGAAGGAAGATGTTTCTAGAACCATCAAACTGTCTTTTCAGCTGTTGAGATTTTTTTTTTTCATGGTAGAATATAACAATCTAAACATCCTATTATAATATTTAGGTTTTTTATGAAGTTTCCTTGTACAGCTACCACATTAACTTGAGGTTACTTTGCATCCAAGAGTCTGGATTTCATTAATCCCGATTTGTGGGTCTCTGGAACCAGCGTGTTGGCAGTAGCATTTCAAGGAGATGAAGTGTTCTGTTCCACTAAAGATACAAAGCACTTGGAGGAAGGTTTAGCAGAAAGACAGCCGCTGCTCAGATGCTTTCACTAAAACATGGAAGGACAGAGTAACATCACCTCTTCTACCAACATTCTGGAAGAAAGTAGTTTGTGCCTGGATATCATTTTCACTAAAATGACAGAGTAACATCACCTCTTCTACCAATGTTCTGGAAGAAAGTAGTTTGTGCCTGGATATCACATTTTCTGTACATTAGCACAGCTTTAATGCCATCTTCTCATATTCATACATACTTAGCTTTCTAATTCAAAGAGAAAATATTCAGAGATAACTTTTTTGAGGGCATATCACCAAGTAACTCTTCACATGCTGCTAACCCCAAACATAGAAGGGCAAAAAAGTAATATTTTGCTGAAGATTAAATATTTGGTTGTAGTGCCTTTTAAAACAGAAAGTAGAATATTGTATTTTATTTCATAGTCTCATGAAACCCTTCTGAAAAAGAAGTGTGCTACTTCAATCTTTGAACAGTTATAAAGACGTTCACCTAAAAATTACAGTAATTAATATTGCACTGAAAGGAACAGTTGCCCTTTGTTTTGGACTATTCAAGCTTTTATTTATGTAACAAGAACAGTTCTCTGAAATGCAAGAATTACTTAAGGATTGTGAGGAGATTTATTTTGAATTAAACTGATTCACTGTCATCCTGTTAAAGTTCACTGTGGCTGGAAGGCTCTGCGTAGGGTATGTCTCTATTTCCAGGAACCACATTAGATGCTTTTCTTACCCAATTTCACATCTGTTGATCTAGGTTGACTCCATAGGAGTGTGGCTGATGGCAGGGGCTTTGATTACGCTCTGCGAAGTGGCAGTGTTTGCCGGTTAGTACCCAGTGCTAACAGGGCAAGCAAGGAAAATGTGTGTTTTCTTGAGGACCAGCTTAGTATGTGTGCTTTGTATCATACTCAATAGCATTCTAGTCAATTAGCTTATTATAAACAGTACCAGAAAATCTGATGGTCACAAGAAAAATGCAGTAGTGTCTGCTGCCAACATGTGTTTAGTTCAGATGTGTAGAAGGTGTTGGAAAAAATGGATAGAAACACATTTGGGGGTAGGGAGGGGAGAAGTTTGGGATGAAATAGTATCTGCAATATTGAAATACCCCGATCCACATACAGAAGCTGCTTTAAACGTCTGGTACGATAAACCATCCCTCATTCCCAGTGCAGATGATCCCAAAGTGCAGGATTATTGACCAACTTTAGGGCGGCAGAAGCTTTAGGTTTTGCGTCCACTGTTTATCACTAAAAATATTCAGTGGTTGTTTATTCAGTGCATACTTTTCTCTAGCTACTGTTTTCCCTTGGAGAAAATGGCATGTGGTGCTAAGTAAATTGACAAAATAGGGCATATGACACAATGAGAACAATACCATCTTTAGAAAATAATCTCTGAGCTATGGAAAGAACATTTTACTTTGCTGTTAACCCTGTCACGGATAGGTAAGTCTACTCGTGCAGGAGGACATTATTTAGAAAATTCCCAGCCATAATGTGTCTCATTTTCTTTGATTTTGAGGCAAAAAAACCCTGACAGATTGGTTTCATTTTGCTCTCTTGTTTGTTTCCTGTATTTGTTGATACTTTCTTGTTGATATGCTTTAGTCTTCTAATGCAGTTCAATTCACATTTCTATTCACCACCAATATTTCCTGGCCTTATTCTGTCTGTTTCTTTCTGTACGTTTCATGTACTGTGTAGTTTCAGTATCTGCCAGCCACAGATATCCTCAAATGGTGCATTTGCCAGTCAATCAACAGACACTTAAGCAGGGAGTAGTATCACTGTTACATAAAGAATTGATTTAATTTGGTTTTAAATGTTCTTCTCGGGGTTTGCATTTACCTTTTTGCCAGTCAAAATAAAGTACGGAGAAATAGACAATAGATAACTTTTCTTTTAAAACAGTGAAACAGAAATTGGGCAAGAAACCTAGCCTATTAAAAGTGTAAATATGTATTTCTCTTTACAGTCATTTCAAAGACAGAATGAATGTGACAGAATGGATTCTTTTTCTCAGTTTAATGTACCCTTGAGATGGAAAAGGAATATCAAAATTCTAGTTTTGAGATGGGGTATATTACATTCTCTAGTTAGGTGCTGTATTAAGAAAGCTTGCCATCTAGTCTTTGAATTGTAGATGAAACATTCTCCTTTGGTGTCAGAATTAGCTGAAGTATCAGAAGTTGTATATGCTTCAAAAGAATTCACTGACAGGGGTAAGTCTGGGATTATGGTGCCTCATTCACCCCCAAGTTCCTCTCAGTTATTTTTGCGTGAACTACATGCAAAGGAGATCAGTGATTGTTGCTACATCTCTAAAGATTCCTCCTTTGAGAGCGCTCTTGTTCTGAGGCTTGGAAGTTGGGGAAAAAGGGAACACAGAAAAACCTGGTTCTTCAGTTCTTGTTTTCTACACCTAAAAGCCTTCAAGCCCTAAAGCAGAGCCAGCTTATTAACCATGAAGCAGATTCTTGTTTTGAAACAGATTTGCACATCTTCCTGTAAATGTAAAAAAGAAAAATAAATCTCAGATTAACATACTTGTTTCATTTATCTCCATTTACAAGCAAACCCAGCAGTGCTGGATTGGAGGAGCTGCTCTGGAAAAAGGAAAATGTCTTGTACCCTCTGGTTTTGTTAAGAACCGAACTGTTTCAATCCTGCTAAAGAGAGGATTCCAACCCATTCCTTCATTTGGCAGACTGTTGTCAGGACAGTGATTTCAAAGCCTGTTCTATTGTGAGATTTAATATCACAGTTACTCGCTTCTTGAAAACCTGGTAGAGCTGACAGCTAGGTGTCATGGTGTGAGCTAATAGAGATTTTGAAAGTGGATGGTATTCTTATTTAGTATGATCTGTCACCTTCTAGCTAGCTGCCTCATATGCCCTTGGCACTACCCGATTCATAAAGTCAGGTGATTTTACATGGGGAAGAACGGAGGGAATATTGCTGTAATCTTCCTGTATATCGTTAGAGATCTATTCGAGGCAGAAACCCAGAACATTTAAACAGGAGGTACCTCTCAAATGCGTGTCATCTCTGAGCTGTTAGACTCTGTCAGGTATTCAGAGTATTTCAACATACAATTCTTCATACAAAACGACTGTGACCATCAGAGGCCCTTATCTTGTAGAGAATTTAGTTTAGCTCATTTAACAAAAACGTTGCTTTAAAACTGTTTTTATTTGGTCTGGTTGTTTATTGTAGGAGTGCTATCCCTTTGTAGCTGTATATGCAGCAGTTACAGTGTGCAGATAGAAAAAGGTTCATTATAACAGAACATCATTTGCTTGTCAACTGAAGTTTCTGCTGGCCAGTAAGTCTGTTCATCTTTCCTCTTTTTACTTGATGTAAATCGTACTAAGCAAAGCAAAACACAGCCTGGAAATAATCCGATTGCTGTGGAGATTCAGATTCGTGAGTTCAGGCAGCCCTTCAGATCTAAAACAGTGGATACCCCACAGCCTCCAGAAGAGAGAAAATTCAAGGCAAAGGAGGAAACAGAATCATGTCATGTTAAAATTACTAATACCTACGTAGCGATTGGGCTTTTCCTTATTTAACAAGTCTTGAATTCAGGATACTTCCTAGTTGGCAGATGGTTGCATCTCACATGCCACAGAATGTTTTACACAAAAACTTGCATTCCCACACAATTAACTACAAAATAATAATGTAAAGCTGATTTAGGTTTTCTCTTTTATTACATGCCTTCAAAACTCTTTCCTATATATAATTTCTGCCTGAGAAACAAAACTTGGAACTTGAAGCCTTCTCATCTTCTTTAGTCAATGCAGTATATACCATTTATTCCCCCACCCAAAGAAAAGAAGGCAACGTCCCACTACTGAGCACCTGGCTGTAGGTGGCCCTGCTGGAACAGGAGTGTTGCGAACGTGACCTCCAGAGCTCCCTGTGAGTCCATGAAAATGGGCAATGGAAAACAGATGTGTAAAGAATGATTTTTAAATGTGCAAATATGATCATAAATAGTGATTTAAGCGACTTGGTGATGTGATACTGAAGAGGAAAAAAAGCCCAGTGGATATTTGGACTTCATTTGCAGTCAGGCTTGACATCAGCTGACCAAAGGGATAAAGGTCCTTCTGATACAGCTGCATCTGGAACATGCCTTTCCCTTCTAGAAACCTCCTTAACTGGGAGATGAAGAATAATTCAAGGTGTTGAAGAAAACTTTAGGACTGGTAGTCTGGAAATACTAATGTAGGAAAATAGTTGGAAATCTTTATAGCAGATTCTTCTGACTTTTTTGGCTCACAAATTGCTCTGAGGGTCACACAACACACTGCAAATGCTGAAAAGATCTCGCAGTCAACGATGGAGAAGAATTCAGTAAGGAATAGGAGAGGGAATTACAAAATGGGCAATTCAGTTCAAACATCAGGAAAAAGTTTCTGACAAATCTGAGTAATGGGAAGAGGGATACAGAGAAGGAGAGGTGTCTTGCTGCTTGACCCAAGAATTCATGTCCTGCATCGGCCTATTGTTAATGATCAATCCTGCTGTGCTCCTCGGTTGAGGTGAAAGATTTTAATATTAAGTTTCAGGGAAAGGCTGGATGCCATCAGACCTGTGAGGATGTTATTCTGTTGGTCCCACATGCTCTAGAGCAGTGCCCACACAGTTCTGTTCAGTTAACTATTCACATATGATGAAAATTAATGACAGTGAATTATGGAAGTTCTCTGCACACCTAACACTAAGAGGACAATCACTGCCTTCATTTAAGAGTGTCAGGGTTATGCTGCCCATCTTCATTTGTCATGTCTCTCAGAAGCTGTGTTCTGTGTGTATCATGTTTTGAAGTGGCACTCAGCTGTGAATTCTCATCTTTGATGTGCTCTGCTTCCCACAACCCTGCTGTTTTTCAGTCTCCCTCCATCTAGAGTGTTTATTTCTGTCTTCTAGGCAGAGGCAAAGCTTTAAAATGTGATAGTGACATTAATGACGTTAAACTAGAAAAATAGGAAAGGAGATAACTGAAACCAAAGAATCTGCAAAATGCTTATGAAGCCATAGAAGGGCCTGGAAGTGTTCAGTTAGAGAAATGGGGAATGGAACAGGTTTCTTGCACTCTGGAGAAAAGAAGGATCTGTTTTGTAAATGGTAGACTTTATAGGTTAGCTTCTAAAGGTGCTGGGCATTTCTGTTTCCTGGAAGGTTGCAGGACTGATCCAAAGCACACTGATGCTGGTTGGAAAACCTCTTTTTTAACCATAATTTCAAGTCAGGTTTTCATTTTTACCTTTTTTAGGTGGAAAATCACCTCATTTCACTTGGTGATCCGCAGCACATCCCTCGGAGTCAGTAGCACATCCTCTTCAGCATAACGTTTCTCTCTTGCTGTCAAATGTTTTGAGCCGTGCAGTGTGTAACTGCACATTTGTGAGCTCTTCAGTAAAAGGCAGCATTTAAAACCCAGCGATCGTGTTTGTCCATTCATACATGAAGAAAAAGGCTTTCTGGAACTGGTATAGGTAGTCCTCAATAAAATATTTGTTTGAATCTAAAAATGAAATATTATCTCTCCAATTCTTGAAGCGCTCTCTATCTGCTGCGGCTAGATGAATCGAACAGAAGGGCTTTCATTAACTCCTGTGGTTTCATAAACTATTTGGATCAGACCTGGAGAAGGCCAGTGTGAAGAAAAGACTTGGCTTTCACCATAGCGCTCTCCATAGGGCTTCATGTTCTGCTCTCCTACTGTGTAAGATACTCGTGTTCAGACAGTAATGAATTTTGATGGCTACTAAACTAGCGTAGAGTCTGCAAGTGAAAACATTTTCTCTGTTGCTATTATTGCCAAAAAAAAATATATTTTACTTTTCAATTTCTAATGTTACCTATTTCAGTAACTGGAATATGTGTTTCAGAAGCATGGGAATACGAGTGACAAGGAAGAAATAGCTGCTGTGATGTATTAATTAACTTAACAATGGTTGGTTCCGGCCAGTTCAAAAAGTTTTAATGCTGTGTCTTCCAGAGTGGACAACTCAGAAGATCCAGTCTATGAGAGCCTAGAAGAGTTCCATGTTTTTGTCTTAGCCCATATATTGAGAAGACCTATTGTTGTAGTAGCAGACACCATGTTACGAGACTCAGGGGGAGAAGGTAAGAAGTTTTTGTCTGTGTAAATGTACACACCTGTGTCAGCTGAATCACAAACAGAAGACCCAGCTGTGACACATCTGGGTGTTTATGGCATAGCTGCTGCCTTGTTCTGGAGGGAAAGACGAGCACAATGCTAATCTATTTCTATTGGATAAAAGTAAAAAATACAGATAAATTTGTAAGTCCCACCGAATATCTGTTTATTCTAGATATACTTAACTAAATAACCACCACATTACAGAACATAATATATTCTGCTGCTCTAGGTTAACAAGGTTCTAACATTGCAGTGTTATTTTGGCGCCCCTTAAATCTCTGCATAGATCAATCTAATCTAATTTTGAATAGTTGAATTTTGAATGTGTATATCTTAGCTTTTTGATTTTACTAACGCCTTTGCAGCCTGTCATTCTGAAGTTTCCAGAGTGTTTTATTCAGTTTGCACATGTGAGTACACAAATGTTAGATCCTGTGTGGAGCGCACAGCTGCCTGAGCAGGACTTTGATGATTGAATTAATCTCTCACTTTTTGCCATGAGCTAGTAGATTGCTAATGAATGATAGTGTGTTGCTTAACTAAAGGGGGATTTTTGATTGAGCGAAGGCGGATGTTGAACTAGTGATGGAGTGTGCAGAAAGTTACTTTCCCTGCACAATGCTGGGTAATTTCAGTTTCCCTTCCTGTTATGAACTACAGGTACTGGTTGCATGATTGTTGTTTATCTGCTCTGACAGGCTTGATCACTATTGCTTCATTTCCCATAACTTCCTATCCTGAGTTGCACACACACACCCCTCACTCCCAATACCCTTTCTCCTCCTTGGCAAATCTGATTCTGTCATGATAACTCCAGTGTTTTCTCACTGCTGGCCTTATAGACCCCCATCATCAAGTTCCGTGTGTACAAAGCACAGGTGTTCAAAAAGCATAATGGCTCGTTTAAATTTGGAAGAACTCACTGAGATGCAGATGTGTGCCTCAAAACCAATACTGCTCTCTGTCCCAAAGCCTGGGCACAGCAGATGTCTTTGAAGAAAAAGTCTAGTAAAAACAGGGCATTGTTTGTGTCTACTTTTTCCTTAAGCTCATTTTGGAAATATTTCAGCAATAAGGATTCATATTTTGACAGCAAAAGGAAAAATAATTGGTCAGAAGCAAACACAGTGAGAGAATTTTCCTGCCCAAACTTGCTGCTTCCCATAATTGTATATAAACAAGCACAGGATCTTTCAAAGGGAAGAGCTTTGCCTTCACATTTGCAGCATCCCGTTCAAACTCTGCTTGTAGATTTTTTTTAATCTCATCACTGTTGTAAATGCATAATACACACATTCAGACATATATGATGTGTGGTGATGTGTGTGTGGACTGTCAGCACGGTTGTGATGTTTCCTACAGAAATCTGTTAATGCAGGGCAGAGCGGAGTGTGTTTCCAAAAGAACTGGTAGTGTATTTACTTGGTGGCTATTAGAAAATGTCCTTCTACCTACAAGTGTTATGGGAAGGTACAAATCTGCAGACATGTGTGAGAGTCATCAGGATTTTGTTGCAAGACTTTAATATCGTTACTAATAAACAATTAGAGCAAGGAAAATAGATGTCAGAGCAGAATGTTTCTGTCATTCTTCTCAGTATATTTCCTGATGTTTTCATACTGAAATTCTACCTGCTGTTATGGCTGTTTTCTGCATCAATTACTCCACTTGAGGCTGCTCCCCTGGAGCTCTGAAAATGCTGTGGCACAATTATTACAAGCACTAGAACCAGCACTATTGTCTGTTCTTTGACAGTTTAAAACCCAGACCCTCATTTTTCTTTGCAGCATTTGCACCTATACCGTTTGGAGGAATTTATTTGCCACTAGAAGTTCTACCTAACAGATGCCATTGCTCACCTCTTGTGCTAGCCTATGATCAGGCCCATTTCTCTGCTCTTGTTTCCATGGAACAAAAAGATCAACAGAGAGAACAAGGTATGCTATAAACACAGCAACCCAGGGGTATGCATTGAACACAGTGCACAAAGTACTGTCTTTTACCTGTAGATGTATTTATCTACCAGGAAGGGGGGAAAAAAAATCCTCTAAAGTTTATTGCTGCATTCATAGGCGTCTGAGCAGTCTGATCACAAGAACTCTTCTGTTCTAATCCTTGTGCTATCACTGTCTTTGGCGCTTGAACCTTTTCTCTCAGCTCCATATATGTAAATAGGTATGATCATAGTTACCTGCTGTGCTTCTGGGTTCCAAAGGCCTTTGCTGATTTGGGGTAGTAAAGTGTTCAGAAGACTGTTAGTCGAGTCAGATGACTGTTGAAAATCGTGTAATTGAAAAATCCCTCTTGTAGTGTGCTAAAGGCAATTTTCTCATTTTAAAATGTTTAGTTGAAAAGCTTTTTATCTTGCTGTCTTCTGTTTTACTTTGGAACAGTGACAACAAAATCTGACCAGATATTTCTGTATCAAATTTGAGCTTCCTGGTTCAGGGATTGGGAGTAACCAGAGCTTCAGGGTTGGATATGTTCCTTCATGAGTAGCCTAAGAGCTGACTACAGCTGCCCTTACTTAGAAGACCTGTTTGCTTAATGAAAGCTGTGAGATTAACTCCTGGCTGTCTCTGCTCCTTTTGTGGGGAAGGGAAAAGAGTTTTGCCATAAACATTGTGAGGCTTTAGAAAAAATTGGTGGAGTTTTGCCTCTAGGTCCCAATCCCCTGGTTAAGCCAACCTTGGAAGGAGCAGAGAGTTTATTACATGAGGCTGGGTGAGCTGGGAAACTCTCTACAAAGTGTTGCGTGTGGTATTGGCAAACAGTGTATTGGTGAAGGGGAGACTGAATCATAAGGCAGAAATGAAGAAAAAGGTTGATCTAGATGTCAGATATTTAACAGGAAGATCAATCCAGTCCAACCCTTCAGTGGCACGGAGCTATTTCAGGGATTTGTAGTAGGTGCTTGGCAATAGGTCTGGCCTTTGCATTATACACTGGGACATTGCAGCTGCCTTCTAGCCCTCGGTCTGTAGAAAAGCAACCCTGAGGAAAATGCTTTTCACATAGGAACCATTTCGATAGCAGTGCTCTGAGGTGTGACACGAAACACCTCATGAGAAATGAAAAGTCTGCGAAGCAAATTCATGCCATTTTAATGCAATAACATGATATGAATGAAGATAGAGTTTTGGAGAGCTGTTTTAAGGATACAATTTCACTGGTAATGGTTGCTGATGACACACTGTAGTCAGGACTGTAACGTCAGCCTGCTATTAGCAACCCCTGTATATATGAGTATGTTACAAGTTACCTTCTTGTTGAAGATGGCTTCATGTCTTTAGTCTTCATCCTTTTTAGCTCTGTTGGCAGAGTCCATTTCTTCCTTTCTAATAGTTGGGATCAGAATAGTATCAGTAGACTGATAGTAACCTCATTTACTTCAGGCACGTCGATCTGCCTTCGTACAATACTTCATTATCACAGGTGTGGCAAGAGCCTGGTGTAAATAATTGGATTGAATATACAGAACGGAGCTATCTCTGCAATGACTTTGCAGACAGAGTAACTGCCGCCCACCAAACCTGTTGCTGTTGTGGCATCCTCCGAGCAACAGGATTGACAACGGGCAGTGAAGGAAACTGATGTTCAGCTGCTCTCAGGATGTTGTTAACGAATTCGGTGATGCACCTTGGTGCCACCTACTGAACCGCTCCCGGTATTACAA